AAGTAGTGCTTGTCGAAAATCCCTTATTACTGTAATCACTTTACTAATAACACCTATTTTATCATACGTGTAAACACAGGATAGATACCAAGTATTATTCCTACAGTGCTACTTTATAGGAATTTACTCATTCTAAGTAAGACTTATATGAGACTTATAGGTGACTTTTTTACGTCATAATAATGATATCATGCTGATATGACTTGAAATTCTTACCTGAATCCTATTATAGGATAAGGGCTATCTAAATGTAAGCATTATTTAATTTGCAAACAATAAAATATAATTCAGCCTTATTTCAAGTTTGACCATATGGATATCTGTTAGTATAATATTTTCTATAAAGTTAATTAGCTCATAAGTTGTAATTAAGTAGTTTTTCTTTCTATAAGCCTCTTACTTAACTGTAATTATTATATGAGAATCTTTTAACTTTCTGTTAATATTTCAATATTCTATAATAATTAAATCCAATATCAAAGATGCTTACTGAAATGTTCTTTTTTCTCTGTTTCTAAAAGGCTTAGGTATATTTAAGACAACTATTTGCTTTAAATATAAGAATAAACTAGAATTTTGAGAAAAAACAAAATATACCTTGTATAAATATAACAAAATTTGCAAAAGAATTATACTACAGAAATTTTTGTATTAGGGCCAACCTAATCATCACAGTGTAAAATTTAGGTAATAAAACTGTACAGACACAAGGATTGTAGAATTTAATTTCTACAAGATTCATTTATTAGTTACAGGTTATATTAGAAATGTTTATTACAAATAGTCTAATTACTAATAATAGGCTCATATGAGATAAATTCCAAGAAAATAATTATTTGTAATATAAGAAATATATAAATTGAAAAGCTTCCAGAAAATCATAGGCTTCCACTAAATGGGTATAGCCTCAGGCTTGTTATAGAAATAATCTACCAAACTATTCTAGATCCATATATGGCTTATCAAAGGCTTATATGGAATTAATAAATTCCTATAAAGTATGGATATGTGAATCCCAACAGGAGGTTAAAAGAGGTGTTAACGTGCTGCGATTTCTGTGATTGACCATTTTGAATGCACTGTTTGGGGAGTGAAATCAACCAAGCCCCCCCCCCCTTTTTTTGCCATCTGTCACTTCCAATGTTTTTTACTTGTAATATTGATCTAGAATCATTATTTTTATCGGCCTTCTATGGTGTTATGCTGCTGTAAACATAAATCTGAAGTCGGAGTCTGTTTGGAGAGGGACACCGTCTTTGCACTACAACCATGCTGAACCAGCTGCGACTCAGCATCATCAACTCTTTTATCTTGTAGCTGTACATTTTTCTCTTTAAGTTTCATTCTACCAGTATCGGTGGCTTAAAATCTATCTTGATTCAATCTTACTACTCTTTATCATGCCCAGGAATGCCAAGGGATGCCGGGTGAGGTCCTTTTTATCGCCCAAAAAACCCTGTTCAAGATTGCCAAAGAGTGAACAGCAGGGTAGGTTTCACTCGTCCGGCAGTATAAGATACGGAGGAGAAATGGAGCGGGGAATCCAGTATTGACAGGGAAAGAGGGGTGGGCGGGTTGCTGTAAGTAGTCTATTATGGACTTGGACTCCGATGTCGCCAATGTGGGCTAGGTTGGGATGCTCAGTACTTACGTACAGTATGATACTGATGTCTAATGTAGTTTTCTCGTCTACCATATACCGGTACCACAGTAGGGTGGCATTCTACTGGGGCAGTATAGTAGAGAAACGAAACACATATGGCCATTGCTCCCCTGAACTACCCACGTCTAAATTGTCTAGTGGGAGGAGAGGTAGTGTGGGAGCTCAGGTTGTGAAGGGCGCCACAGGCATACGCATCGCACGAAATACTCGAGTAACAAATAGCGTCCAGAATAAAAAATAATATTAGGAATAAGGGATAACCAGAAATTAGGATATTTCCCCCCTGGGCTGTTGCAGGTTCGAGCATAAATTTAAATCCTCTTTCACCCTTTCCCTTTTGAACTTGGCTCCTGAAAATCTAATGGAACTGCTGGTGCCGGTATGATATGATACTCGTACCGTACCGTACAAGACTGGTACTGTACTGTGCTGTACTGTATCATATGTACGAGTACATAATGTCACGTTTTAGCAGAAATACTGATAGGTCTACTATAGACTATCCCTTCCCCGGTTTTACCCTCCCTCATGACAGCAGCTCAATCCGTTCAGGACAACGTCCCGGGACATAGCGAGGAAGAAGGGGAAATAAGGCCATGTGCCCTGGGTAGTGAGGGATTGCGCACCGTCGTCATGACTGCAACCGCAGCTGCAATCCCCTCAACTACAACTTTCGATCCGGTCGTCGCCACTCCCCCAATACCGGTAGTAGCTTCAGTAGCAGGAGATCGCCAGTTCAGAGGGAAAACCTCCATGTCCTCGAATAACAAGCCACCCCTCAAATCCCTACACACCAGCAACGTCGGCAATAACAGCCCCTCCTCACCGGCCCCACGCCTTGCCACTTTTCAACGGCCTACTTCAAACTCATTGCATCCAAATGTGACCACGCGCTCTCCCCGATCCACCGCGAGGAGCGGGAGAGCGGAGACAATATGTTCGCCTGATTCGGAATTGCATATTCCAGCCGCCCGCTCTTCCTCAAGCTTGGAGCAACGGCCGTCGAGTGCAACTGGATCTAGGGTATCCGTGGGATCGGAGACACCGTCGAATTACCGTCAGCAAACTACAACACACCCGGCCCCTTGGAAACAGAACTCGTCTACTACTGGTAGCAATGGGGTTACCCCTAAATTCTTCCATGCAAACCAAGTGAGACCGGCGAGGCCTCCGCTATCATCAAATGTATCCACCACGCCCCCTTTTTCACTGAAAACACCCCTCGGGCAACCTGCCATGTTCTTTCACGCTGACAGCATTCCTACATCTGCTCGGTCACACTCTCCTACGCCTCCCATCTTCTCACCTCGATCCCCAGGACAACCAGGCTTTGTGAACGATTTCATTCAGAACCCTCATGCATGTGTCAATGAATTTACTTCCTCAAGACCATCAGCTAAGGTAGGCGGCTCACGGCCAGCCTCTCTTGTCTCCATGACCCCTTCAACGCACTCAGAACCCCGCAGCCATGTCAAGTTTGTGTATGCGAATGGGACAGAAGAGATTTTGCCTCCCAGAAAGTTGGGATCGGAGATTGGTTCAGCAGCGCCATCGCCCCAGATAGTTCAGGCCCCATCTTTAGGTTCTCCAACTGGCGCGCTATCACCCCTTGGCTCCCCGGATCCGGTTGCAAACCCACAGACGCAGTGCTTCAAGAGTCCACACTCTTCGCCTAGATCTAGTGTAGATGATAGCGCAAGGCATGGCAGAGCTCTCTCTACTAGCTCAACAGTTGATATGATGAGTTTGCTGAAGGGCGAATCTAAGGGGGAGGACAAGGACAGCGGTAAGGCTTCTGATGACGATGCTTTGTCTGTGAAAGCTGCCGCAAAGGCCAAGATCAAATCAATGGAAGAGGCTGCAGCGAATGCCCGAAGAGAGAGAAAGGTAGATATGACGTGAGCAAACAAGAGGGATATTACTGATATTTGAGCTTAGGTTCTGGACCTGGAAATATCTAACACTTCCTTAATGGCGATTAACAAGACACTAGAACGCCAGATGAGAAAGCAGACGGCTGAGCTCAGGCGCTATCGCCGACTTTCACGCACCGGCCGACTTTCTAGTGGGGGAAAGAAGGGAAAGAAGTTTTCAAGTCACCTCTCTGGTGGTGGTGATGGCGAAGAGGTGTTTGACGCTCAGAGCGCGTCTGGTGGTGGGGCAAGCGATGCTGATGAGGAAGAAGAAAGTGAAGAAGACGACAAAGGTTCATCTGATGAGGACGGAGACGACGAGAAGGAAGATGATGACACGGTAGTCGTTAAACCAGAGGCAAAGAAGGACAAGGCACCAGACGGTGGCCGACTAGACCTCGACTTGTCAAAGCACCAAGCCCTCCTCGAGGCCTCCACAAAAATGAACGTCTCTCTAAAGCGCTGTCAATACATCGCCGAGCAGCTCATAGAGGAAGGGAAAAGAGCCCTAGAATACAAGGTCCAGCCCTCAGACATTCACCTTGGTGGTAGGGTGTTGACAGGCGACAACGGCGAAGAGTTCGAAGGCGAAACTGAAGACAAGGAGGATTTGAAAATGGAGAGTATGACAGCTGACGGGATTGATGATGAGGAAGGTGAATACTCTGACCGAGAACGGGATAGCTGGGACAAGGGCGAGGATGAAGATGAGGGGGACGAGGGTGGATCCAACGGTGTGTACGATGAAGACGACGAAACGTCTGGGGGTGAAGATATTTATCCATTTAGAGATGCGGATCGAGTGATTCTCCCGAGGTTGGCGGGGTATATTGAGCCTACGACGTGAGTTCTTTGCTGAGAGGACATTACTGTAAACCGAGTGAGAGAGTATCAATCCTTGCATGCATGGAGGGTCCTTTGTTTTCTTTTTTGTGCGTGCCAATGTACGTGTGTTACATGGGTGCGGTATTGAATTGGGAGAAGGCGTTGTGGGCAATTCAGCTCGCTCCATGGTCTACTGTCTTGTTTGTGGCCCCCCTCCCGTTATTCATGAGGGTGCCCTTTTTTTCCTTTCTTCCTTTTCGAGAGTAACCTGAATTGTATTGGTGACACGGCGTCCATGACATGGGCGGGTGGACAAGCGGGTATTGGTATGTCACGACTGCAACTTGTTTGTGAGCATGGAGAGGTTTTGTGGCAAATTTCTGGTTCTTTTTTCTTGCTTTGGGTGAGTGTGAGTTTTGCATTCGAATACCTTGTTCATCTCCTCTATGATGCAGTTTTCCTTTTCCTTTTCCTTTTCTCTCTATAAATGAGGGAGGTAGTGTTTTGATACGTCAGTTGCTCGGTTGGTCAGTTGGGTGCCCGAGGGGAGGAGAGGATCTGTATAGACTATGAGTACATTGCGATGAAGTCATGAGGGTTGAAATTTGAATGCACGGATCGTTTGATATTTTTGATATGATACTTGTGGTCTTGGTGTTGTGGGCGGTGGTATTGTACCGTAGTAGCACTTTGTTAGCGTTGAATCATCCGCCTGAGTGGGGGTTATGATAGGGCTTGACATAGGTACCGGTAATTGTACTTTCTGAAGCATCAGGGGTCAATTGAAAAGAGAGCTTGAACCTCTTGTGCTGTACAGTTTGCGCACTCAGGTCAATTGCAATCTTCAATCAGAAATATGTACAATAGCTCATCGCCCCGGTGCCCCCCCCTGGAATACCGGTACGGCAAAGCTTACTTTCCCTCCTCCACCTTTGCCTTAGTTTCCCGGGCAGTCGTAGGCTCCTTAACGGTAGTATACCTTTTCACCCTCTCCTGCAACTACCCCTCTCCATCATTAGCCCCCTCCCACAAACTACCAAGCTTGATATAAAAAGGAACTCACCTCCCTCACCTCCCGATCCCTCACCTCCAACTCGCGGATCCACGCCGCCTGCTGTTTCCTCGCTTTCGCTTCAGCTATTTTAGCCTCAGAGGCCTTCCGCGCCTCACGATCCCGTGCCCAGTAGAAGCTGCCGGCGCACATGGCGGCCACGGTGAAGGCTTGGCCGTATATGCGCGCGCGGAACATCCGGTTCGTGCGCGCCTTGTCACCGGCTCGGATCGCGCGTGAGGATTGGTAGAGGGCATAGACTGTTATTAGGCAGCCTACGGTATTTATGTGTGAGGTTTGGTTGGGATTGGGGGGAGGGGGGGAGGGGGGAGGGACCTATGGGGATTAAGGGCTCTTCTTTTAAGCGGCGGGTGAACTTTGAGAGGCGGGATGCTTCGGTGAAGTCGCTTTCGGGCGGCGGCGGTGGAAGAGTTAAGTATTGGCGAGCGTAGGCAATTATGGGGAACAGCGGGATCGATGGGGTGACTTACGAATCGCTGTCGAATGAAGAAGGGAGTGGGCAGGAGGACATTTTGGTTTTTTTTTGTGGGACTGTGTTGAGATGAGGTGAGATGCAGTATGGCAATTAGGCCCTTTAAGATATGATTGAAGGAAAGAGTTACCAGAGATGAATGCCGAAGGACGTTACGCCACGGGTATGCTTCGGTACTTGTACGGTACGAACTTGTCGACAAAAGAGATGGACTCCTACCGTAACTACTCAGGAGATAGAGACCGTTGCCAAGGATGACGCTGGCAGGACTATTCAGTTTAGGAGCTTGGCAGAGGACCCAAAAACAACATCAGCTCAATCACGGGAGTACCAGTAAACATGCAAAATCACTTACCAAACTGAAAGTTCAAACTAAAAACAATCCACCGAAGGATCTTTATCCACAATGCCAGCTGTTCGAAGGCCCTTGGGAAGGCTGAAAGAAAATGACATAAGCGAACGAAGGGCACGACACAGGGGTCCAAAGCTGAAATCTCTTGAGGCGTGTGATGTAACGCCACGGGTAAGGAGTATGTTCCACAGCATATTAAGCACAATACTAAAGCATCGAGATGCAGATTAAACCTTGTCAGCGAGTAGAACGAAGTTATACACGACGGAGAAAGATTGAGGTACTGAGTTGGATTAAGTACTATCGTGTACCCAACTCCATGCCAAATACAGCAATAAGGATGAGGCCTCCAACACTTGATGAAGCGTCATCCTTTTTTCAGATACCAAGAAGCACGATTGTGCGATGGAGAAACCCTGAAAATACGCAAAAGATTATTGAGCCAGTTGGTGGTGATCGCTCATATCGTGACGCGTCAATGGTTTTCAATTGCCAATGGCCCGAGATGGAGAAAAAACTATTTGATGCTTTTCTAGAGTGAAGAGGCAAGGGGAGGCATGTAAGAGATGGATGGTTTTGGAGAAAAGCAAAAGAGCTATGGGGAAGCTCTTACCCAGAGCTTCCCTCAGAACTGTTTGTATTTTCGGTAGGATGGTTTTTGGGATTCTTATCACGGCACCGAGTTGTTTTACGATTTGTGACCAATACAGCTCAGTCACTACCGGCCAACTATAAGGAACAAATTCTGGATTTGTTAAGATTCAATCGACGGAATAGGATACTCACCCCCCTATCGCAAACCACTTTCGATCAGCTACCAAATCCACTTTCCCTAGATTATATCTGTAACGATGATCAAGGTGGAATTCCCGAGTATCGCATTTGTAATGTGGATGAAACACCACTCCCCTGGGAGTATCTGATTGGAAGGACATACGAGCTGCAGGGTGCAAAAACTGTTTGGTCAAAGAGTGCTGAATCTGGCTCTGAAAAGCGCCAATGTACCCTGTTTCTTTGTATTTTTGCGGATGGAGTACCTCGAGTTCCTCCTATTCTAATTTTTCCTGCATCCAGTGGATCAAGAATATGGCAACGTGAATCACATCTCTGGGACAAACGAGTTCATGTGGAGTTTTCTCCTACTGGTTGGATGAATGAAACTTTGTTCACCCAATTTATTCTACAGTTTTTAGTTCCGCTCTTTGGAAGCCAGTGGGCATTATTTATTTTTGATCAATATCGTGCACATCTTACATCCCAAGTTCTTCAAACTTGCCGCGATAAGAACATTACACCCTCTCTGATCCCGGCTGGTACAACACCAATGACTCAACCCCTTGATATCTCACTGAATAAGCCCTTTAAGGGCCTTATTAAGGAATTTACAGAGGAAATTCATGAGAAAAAAGAAGAGCTGGAGGATATTGAAAAGTGGACCATTAGTCAACACCAGGTAGTAACTACGGAGGCAGTTAGAAGGGCATGGGAGGAGTGGCACCAGAGTCATTCACGGCGAAAGATTATCATTCAAAGCTTTCGGAGTACTGGGATTGCCTTACTGGTTGATGGATCCTCAGATTCTGAACTTATCATTAAAGGCTTTGCACCCGGTGAGCTTATAGTAGGCGATTGGACACGTTCTGAGCCAGTCAATGTGATTGGTTTGGGAACTTCAGAAAACGAGAATCTGGAATTTATGGCTCCCAGCTCCACAGCTCAGGATGAAGCTGTTGAAATTACTCTCATAGACGAATAGTTTTTAGAGTTTTGATATGTCTTGGTTTTTTTTTTTTTTTTCCTGTACTATATGAGGTATAGTTTGATGGTGATCATATATGCAATCCTCTTGGCAATGGTCTCTATCTCCAGAGTGGTTACTGTAGTAATTGCCAAGCCATCGCAAACTTTTACAAACCATAACTCCTATGTCTACTCCGACAGCGCAAGACAAACCACAAGCCCACTGGAGTACTCCTAAACGTACTCGAGTCCTTACCCTAGTAGAGAGGTTTTGTCTGTACCGTATTTACTCGGTGGATTCGCTAGCTCCAAAATCGATGGCATATGAGTAGAAGTGATAGGCGAGGTCTCACCAGGCGTTTTTTGGCAGTGATCTGCAATGACAAATGAGAACCGTGTTTGTGGTGAGACACCCAGCCAACCTCAGAACAGCAGAGGCAAGTTACTCATTCCTAGGTACAAACTCTATAGGATCATTATCACTGGCCTCTTGTATTTCCAGCTCTTCCTCTCCATTAACCTCTTCATAGTCTGTATGCCAATCCCCTATCTCAAGTACATCAAAATCTTTAAATAAAATTCAGAGTCACAGGTTTCATCAACTGGCAAGGAGAGTCTGACTTGACAAAATACATGGTGAATTATCTTGCTCTTTTCCACATAAAACTGGTAGAAGGCATTCCCTATCCAGGAAGTGATTAGGATTTGGCAATCACTAACTGTCCACTTGTAGAAGTCTTCTGCATCTTCTGCCTCAAAAATTGTGGAGTCGGTAAGCTTCCATATGAATTCATTAAATTGCTTGTTGATAGCTACAATAAGTTGTGTGAGTAGGCTTGTACAGCCGCCATGGATTAGGCAAGAAAGGATATTACGTACATGTAGTTTGTCGAACACGTCAGGAGTTTTATGAGACCCCATCAGGTCCAGCGCAAAGAGGGACAGACAGCCACCCAGAGTACGCACTAGATTGTTTTTGCTATATCGATGACAAAGCTGATCATTCATATAAGCTTTGTTGTTGAATTCTACCTTCAACCCAGAATGGTACTTTTGCCTCTTACTTCCTAAACATTCTCCTTTGCACCAAATATTGTCTTTGGGGGAACTCTTAGCACCGCATGGGCAGAGATGCAAAGCACCAACGAGGTTTGCCTCTTGTCCCCACCATTCTGGTCAGACTTTTCCCAACTGGATTTTGCCCCAATAGGATTGTAAGTTTCTCAATCCAAATACTCAAATAGGATAGGAGTCTCATCAAGGTTGCAGATATTAGATTCTGGAAAGAAGTTGGCTATGGTTTCCACAACCAATTCAAGAAATGGGGTGAGGAGAGGTTGGAGTTCTGCCAATTAAAGCAGAGCCAGTTTAGTACTAGAGACTGGTATTTGGCAGCTAAGCTTTGTGCTTATTTGGTAATACAGGGTAAATGAATTCAATATTGGCCAAGAAAGCTAGAAAATCAGCCATAGTTGAAATAGAAAATTGCTGGATCGAGGTTTGGATACAGCTCCCAGAAAGTAAAGCATGCGTGAACCTTAAACCACTCCAGTATAATAATCTTCTCCTCTTCCTGCTGTCTTATAAATTCATGATATAGAGTTTCTTCTAACTCGATCCATCAGCATCAACACTCCAAGGCAAAATCCTCTCCTCTCTCCCTTGCTGGGTCTTTAGCTCCCCTCTGCTCAATTAAATGTTTCTTGTTAACCCAATCAGTAGTAGTTCATTGAGGAAGGCTATAGTGGCGACTGGCTTCTTACTGGGATAGTAGGTAGAACTGTCCAGGTTCTGGGAGAGGGATCTAATAATGCTCATGGAAAGTAAGAATCTAAATTCTGTGCATTTAACTATAGATATGCTTTAGGTGGATGTTTGGGTTCAGGTCCTTATCTTGCAGGATTTGCTCATAGATGGGTTTTGGCTTTAGCCTCCACCATTCCTCTTCAGTTCAAATTGGAGGCATTATTACATTTGAGAGTAGTATAAACTATAGTAGAAATACTCTTTACTCAAACAAATCTTCATATTTACTTTACAAAATACTCCTTATATCTCGTTTTCCTAACACTATCTACTGGCCATCACAGTGACTAACAAAATCAAAATCACTCTTCGTATTTCCCTTAGTCACAATACTTTCTTCTAAAGCATTGACATTGTCTGATATGTTACTCATGATATCTTTGGAATGCCTCATTATTCTATTCTGTGATTTTTAACTACCGACTATCCACTCATGTTGTAGTTTTATCTTCCTTTAATTTGAAATTTAATTTCAGAACATCTCTTGTGTCTCAATTGTCTTAGTCATACCTAGTTCCCAGATGTTCTAGGTACCAAGACATCTTCACATCCTAGAAAATCAACTCAGCCAATATGGTACTTGTAAAACAGGTTAATCTTGAATGTATAATCCATCTAAGAATAATGCGCAGTTTCATGGGTACACTGCAGGATATTTCTCAAATTGTGTTTATAGTATTAGCTTTATATTACACCATAATTTCTGTCCTAACTAATGACATTCAAAGTAGACAGCTTTGTATAAAAAATAATCTTACTGAATAAGGTAAGGAGAATAGAGATAAAATAGCTGAGTTAAAAGTCAAGTGAGATGAAATTACAGGATTTTAGTGATAAAAAGATTAATAGGTGGTTCATGTAAATAATGTTTAGCCTTAACCTGCTAAGAGAAAACTTTTCACCCACAGAATAGGTCTATACCCTCACATTCTCAGAATTATAATTAGATGAAAAAAGCTGGAAATAATAAGAAATAGATAAAGAATAAAGATATTCTGTACAGTCATATGCATTTTTAATAATTGTACCCCTATCCGGCAACCACAACCATGACAGTTAATGACTTCAACCATACAAAAAATTAAGATACATAGCCATTTTAGAAACAGATGAAAGTACATGACCTAAGCTTCAAAGAAAT